GGAAATGATCACTTCAAGAAACTAATTGATAAGTGCTCGCATGCCAGAAAATGGATGGAACCCCTGTTGTTTTTAAATTAAAAATTAAAAAGATCTTTTGATTACTTGCCGCCCACTTTCAAAAGAACATTTCATATATATATAAGAGGGGGTGAACAGAGACAACGACAATCAACCAACTCAACCAAAACCCAGTCAAAAGACAAACACTCAAAATGATCACTTGATCACGAGAACTCCAAGCTAAGTCCAACAGACCCAGAGTCTGAAGCATCTTAATTTCAAAAGCTTTTTTCAACAAGCTTGCAGAATCATCCTGTTTTTCTCCCAGCAAAGACAGCTGAACCACTGTTTCTGATTTGAATTCCAGTTCACAAATCAACAATAACGAGGTCTCGTTACAAATTTGGTTCAGCAGAGCCAGGGCAAGCAGAGTTTTGAGATTTCTCAAATATGAAAACCTCAACAAATTTATGAACAGCCCTGACTAAGCAGCACAGGTATTACAGCCCATTTCCAGCTCGAGTCCAGCCACTTCTACCCCTTTCAGACTGGAGAAGTCCCAGTTCTGCCCATCCAAAAGCCTTCCAGGGCTCGAAATAGATTAAAGCTCTGCCAAACTCAAGCTTTGGTATCGATTTGCAGCTGAAGCCTAGCAGTTGAAGTTGTTAAAAGTCTAGTCCAGCACAGGCGTACCCAGTCCAGCCCAGAACAGAGGCAACTATCCAGACAGAAATGGAAGCACAGCCCTCTTCTTGTCCTTGTATAGTCAATTTTTCCCTTTTTGAGTCTTGTAAAAGGGAGTTCTGCTTGAAATTGGTTCAATCTGTCATCTTTCATTCTGGCCAGAACTACCGGTTTTCGTACTGAGGAAAATTGTAAAAGTCCTTACCAGTCTAAGGCATAGAAAAGAACTTACTTGGGAGATATTCCTCACCCAAATTCACAATCGTTTGGTCAAAGTTAGTAGCTTGGGGCGCAAGTTATTTTTACCATAAGTCTGTTAGGGTTGAAAAATTGCTAACAGTGGCACGCTCAACACATAAAGAAAGTTAATTCACTGACCAAAGCATGGTCTTTGAATTAATGGGGAACTTTGCCCTGTCATCTCAGGTGTGAACACAAGTAGAAATGAGGTAACACCAAGTGAAAGTAAAACTTGCCCAAAACATATTTCCAGAGCCAGCATCAATTGTTAGATCAGTTGGATAGGCTACACTTGTCCAATGGAGCTCAAATTCGGATATGTTGTAGTTAACATCCATTGGAACAAGTTTCATAAGGATCTTCACTCATCCGAGCACCAGAGCATGCTGATCCAAGGCCAAGAAGTTGACCTACGAAAATGAACAAAAATCAGAATTTATAACCAATAATGCACTTTTAGCTCATTTTCATTCTAACCCAGGTAAAACCTATGAAAACACAAAAAGGAAGTAAACAGCTATAAAATGTCAAGAACTAACTCAAAATAATGGGTGAATAACATGATAAATCATGTGTAAAAATGAACCGAACAAAACCCTACTCTAAAAAGGTATGGAAAAACTCTCATAAAGCAAAACAAAATCCCAAACAATTAAGGAAACAAATTAGGAAAGAATCATTATTTGTCTTGGAAGCACATCAGCCAATTGGCACACATATTTTTGGGTCTTTCCACTTCCTAGAAAATTCTAGAAAAATATGAGAACTTAAGCTTGATCTCTAAACTTTCCAAGCATATATCACACGCCACTAGAAAAAATCAGAAAAGTCTTAATTCATCCTTCCATAGTAGTGTAGTTCTGACGGGATTTCAACTTAGGCTGTGTTGACTTGCTAGTCTTGTGCATTTGGCTTCGTAGAAAATTATGAAATTTTGACACAATGATCCTCAATGTCTTAGCTTTCTTCTCCAATTGTCCTTGCCCTAAAATTTATTCGAAAAGTCGATTTTCAGTCAAAAACCTTCCAAGAGCGCATAATAGCTAAAATTAAGGAAAGTAAGGTAATAATGCTATTTTTAATTCCTACAAAAACCAAATATAAGATATGTACAAATATAGGAAATAATGCACTTATCATTCGCCAGAGTCTTAAATTGAAATGCTTCAATTTAGGATTATCGATTGTTGAATCTTGGGAGATAGACGCCTATAGAACTGTGAGCACAAAAGCAGAGGCGAAATCTGTCTTTAGGACATTGCAATTCTTGCAAGCCACAATCGCTAAAGTTGTCAATATTTTCAATTTGTGTTTGCTAATTTACATTAATTTCATGTAAATTTGTTATTGTATTTGATAATTACAATTTTATTGAAAAGTATTATTATCTTTAAATTCATATTTCCTATTGTTACTCCAACAATTTCTTCACAGTAGACAACTTGTTATTTACTTTCATGCTGCTAATGAATATAAATTGCAAGCTTTTGTCCCATTAGAGAGAGCCCCACGCGGATACTCTAATGAATATGCAGATTCCATAAGTTTACAACCACATAAAAAGTCAACTAGTAGTTAATCAACGCGTCCTTCATCAAACCTGTATTTAATCTTTATTAGCATTTACCAGCAAGCTCACAACACTCCCACCTCCGTCCAAAATGCACCCAATCCTCCTCTCTCCCATCCTCAACCTCCTCCTTCTCCTCTTCTTCTTCTACTCCTTGGACGCCACGACATCGTTTTGGCCTAAGGAAACACAGGAAACACAGCCTAAGGAAACCCCTTCCGTCTGCTCCCAGACTTTCGCCTGTGGCCCGCTCCAAGGCCTCTCATACCCGTTCACCGGCGGGGCGCGCCCTGGCCATTGTGGTCCACCGGAGTTCCACATCAGCTGCGTGGATGACTCGCCCGAGCTGACCATCATGTCGCTGAGGTACCGAATTCTCGAACTCAACCTGGTTCACAAAAATCTAAGGTTAGTCCGCTCAGACCTCTGGAACTCGACATGCACAGACAAACTCGCCAACGTAACTATCAAATCCGAGTTCTTCGCCTCCAGTGAGAACGACGACACGGAGGTGTCCATTTTCTACGGCTGTAATTCCTCTACCATTACCCCAAAGCCTGAGAATTGGTTTCCCTGCAACGTCAATCTGCCTTTCAACGACTCTTATTACCTGATGGGGACGTTCCCGATCCACCCGATTATGGGCGATGTCAACTGTGAGATTGAAACTACAGTGCCGATTCTCAAGACCGCGGCTGCGAAGCTCGGTGCCAATAGGTCGCTGTTTCAGGAAGCGATCATGGAAGGCTTTAATGTTAACTATACCAACCCTTATGATAATGAATGCGCTAAATGTCTTTATTTTAAAGGGGGCTGTGGGTTTGACTCCAATTCGAGCCGGCCCGTTTGCTTTTGTGGGGATCGGGTTTGCGACATATCAGGTACCATATTCAATAGTATACGTACTTGAAGTTTAAATTTTTTTCTCCTTTTTATAATTTTTTTTAGTAATAGTAAAAATTATAACCAAAGAGAGGTTTCTCACACACACCATCAAATTACAATGGAAGTTCGAACCAAAGACCATAACTAGGAATTGTTGACTTCATATTTTTATTTCTTTTTTCACGGGTAGGATTAAGAAAGATAGCAACAGTAAGCCGTCATGAATTAGGAATTTCTGGAAATTTTTACCTAGTGTTTTGACTGTCCGATATCCAAAACTTTCTCGTCTTTTAGTTTTGCGAACCTAGTTTGCTTTCCTGCTATGAAATCCCACTGTCAAATTAAAACGACAGGATTTTTATTGATTTTAAATTGATTAATGAATATTTTAATAATTTTTTAGAGAAAAAAAAAATGCCATGTTATCAAATTGTGAACATTTGGCAACAAAGTAACTAGATTTAGTGAAATTAGCAACATGTAACTACAAAATATCTGTTGGCATGGTCTTTTTTTCAATCAATATATATATATATATATATATATATATATATATATAGAAAAAAAGACCATGCCAACAGATATTTTGTAGTTACATGTTGCTAATTTCACTAAATCTAGTTACTTTGTTGCCAAATGTTCACAATTTGATAACATGGCATTTTTTTTTTCTCTAAAAAATTATTAAAATATTCATTAATCAATTTTAGCCCTTGATTCAGTAACTATTAAATGGTAGCCCTCCAAAATACATTTAAAAGTTACACTTACATGACTGCTTAAAATGACCAGGAGCTTAACTATCACCTAACAAAACTACAATAAATTAAAGGGATAATTGTTGAAATGCCACCTAAACTTATACTTTAGTTTCAATTTGCCACCCTAAAGAAAAATTTAAGAGAAATGTCACATGAATTTTTCAAAATCCATGATTTTTCATATGACTTTAACACCATCCAATTTTCCATCCATTTTAAAGGGTATTTTAGTCTTTCCATTTTCAAGAAAAATTAGAGAAAAAAGAGACATCTCTCTCCCTTTTCCCCCCTTCATAACCCCACCCGACCCCAAAACACATTGCACATGACACCCCTCCCCACCTATTCTCTCTCTCTCTGACCACGTATAAAAAAAAAATTATAATGATTTTTCCATTTTTAAAATACCCTTAAAAATAGAAAAGACTAAAATACCCTTAAAATGGATGGAAAATTGGATGGTGTTAAAGTCCGATGACAAATTATGGATTTTTAAAAATTAAGGTGACATTTCTCTTAAATTTTTCTTTAAGGTGACAAATTGAAACTGAGGTATAAATTCAAGTGACATGTCTACAAAAATCTCTAAATTAAAATACAAGAAGAAAAGTGAAATATAAAGAAACAAGTATTTTGTTCCAAGTTTCATTATATCACTTTATTTTATTGCTTTTATTTCTTTCCTGGTATTGAGATGCTTTTATGTCTTTCACAACTTAATGAAATGCATAACTTGAAAATATTTTTGAATTTATAGGGATTGTAGCGGGTGTAACTTCCGCCATTGTTTTCATTGTTTTTATGGTATACACATTAAAAAAAGAAGTGCTTTTCTTCAAGAAATATAAGAAGAATGAGATTGACATCCAGGAAGTTATAACAAATAATGGATGGATGGCCCCAAAGAGGTATAGTTACTCCGATGTGAAGAAGATGACTCATTGGTTCAAAGATCAAATAGGTAAAGGAGGATATGGCACAGTATACAGAGGAAAGCTACCTGATGGCCTTCTGGTGGCAGTTAAAGTCCTAAGTGAGTCCAAGGGTAATGGAGAAGACTTCATTAATGAAGTTGCTAGCATTGGTAGAACTTCCCATGTCAACATAGTCACTCTTTGTGGATTCTGTTATGAGAGGGACAAAAGAGCTTTGATTTATGAATTCATGCCTAATGGATCTCTGGATAATTTCATACGTAAGCAAGGATCTGAAATGGCAAATTCTCGCTTAGAATGGAAACAACTATCTGAAATTGCAGTCGGCATTGCCCGAGGACTAGAATACTTACACCGTGGATGTAAAACAAGAATTGTGCATTTTGACATAAAGCCACAGAACATTCTTTTGGACAAAGATTTTTGCCCAAAAGTAGCTGATTTTGGCCTTGCCAAATTGTGCAAAAGAAAGGAGAGTATCGTATCGATGCTTGGGACAAGGGGAACTGCTGGATACATCGCACCAGAAGTATTTAGCTGGAACTTTGGAGGCGTATCTCACAAATGTGATGTTTACAGCTACGGGATGTTGGTTCTTGAAATGGTTGGAGCAAGAAAGAATTTGGATTCGGCAGTGTCTCATACGAGTGAAATGTTTCCGCATTACATTTATAAAGATCTAGAGCTAGACAAGGATGAGAATGTTTTTGGGGCAACCACAGAGGAGGAAAAACAAATAGCAAGAAAGATGGTATTAATAAGTCTGTGGTGCATTCAGACCAATCCTTCTGATCGGCCATCAATGAGCAAAGTGGTAGAGATGCTGGAAGGACCCCTTCATTCCTTGCAAATTGCACCAAAGCCTTTGTTGGTTTCTCCTACAATAGCTGCAGAAGACTGTATGACCACATCTCAACCATCTGAAACAGAAGACTCTATGACCACATCAAAGCCTTTGCGTGTAAGCTTAAGACATATCGGTATATAAGTGTTGATTTTCAATTTTAAGATGGAGAAAATATATAATCTTTTCATAATCCAAAAAAGAAAAACATGTAATATAAATCTGCATCATTATTATCATATTGTTTGAATACTGCATCTCATTGAACTTGAAGATGAGTGAAATTGTATGTGATAGTTTGTCTGAAGATAATAAAATATAAAACTCCATTTTTGAAGTTCACAGCTTTTGTTAGGCTGCGCAAGTTGACCTCCATCCCAAGAATATTCTATGCTTAATTAACCTTTCAAATGGTAAACTTGGTGTTCATAGCTCAAATCTTTTTCGGCGATTGGTTCCAACCAGTAATTCTGTCTTCTGAATGCGATGCTCTGTTTTGCTTAGTTTATGTTCTACATTTTGGTATATACTTGTCTCCTGCAACTCTGAATAAAAAGAAAACAAGAACAAAGATTATATAGTGTGCTAAGTTACCTGTGTGTCAAAAGTTCAAAAATGGCAAGAAAAGGAAACGAAAATTCTTCCCACATACGTGTCTGATCTAACAACTGTAGACAAATACCTATATTTGGGGCGTGACACTAGTCAGGTACGTACCTATATTTTTCTCGCTCGGCAATTCGCATCTCCATGACTTCAGACTAAAGACTATAGTTGGTCTCATTCCACATGATTTCAGCAGGCAACCCAAAATTGTCATTCTGAATGGTGTGGAGTTGCAAGCAGTTAAACTATGATGTTTCAATTGGATTTGACATTGTAGCGGAATTTGTTTGTGGGATATATATGCTTTGGGAAGTATACAGGTAAACTATGATGTTTGAATTTGATTTGGGTTTTGGTATGAGGATAAATTTAGAGTTTCAAAACAATTTGAGGAAAAAGACAAGAGATTTAGAGATGACTCATGATCGGTGGCTCTAAAATATTTGGGGAAATTTCTTGACTATTAAAAATAAAAAACTTTCTGGCATTTTTATTAAACAAGAGATAAGTCTTATTATACTCACCAATCAATAAGTCGACGTTGACTCTAACGTCACCTAATCGGTCCTGCTGATAAGTGAGATCTTGATGAACATAATTCCTTCATCTTTTCCTTTCTCAAAATTTAATTACTTCTCTCTCTCTCTCTCTCTCTCTCTCTCTCTTAATGAAAATGAATCTTTATCCCTTCCAAAAGATCTATTTTCTCCTTGTGATCACAAGTACTATATGCCTATTGTATATTTCAAGATCTTTGGGTGAGGATGATGAGCAATACCTCAACTGCAGTGCTTCGTTTCCATGCGCAAATATTCCGAATATTGGTTACCCTTTTTGGGGATCAAGCCGGCCCGATTATTGTGGCTACCCGGAATTCAAGTTGAACTGCACTGGGGACGCCCCAGTGATCTCATTCCAGGACGAAGATTATCGAGTCCTGGATATCAACCAAAGTGCAAGTACTCTCAGAATCGCTAGGACAGACTACTGGAACAACGTTTGTCCTGTGTCACCTGGCAACACCACAATAGAAGTAAACCATGTAGAATATGCTTCAGATGTTGAAGAACTACTGCTGTTCTATGACTGCCCCCCACTCAATATTCCTCTTCCAATTCAGCTAACAAGTCAGTTCAACTGCAGCATAAACAGCACTGCCAATTACATCAATTACTTTATCACACAAAACCTCACGAATTCAGGGCTTACGAATATTCGTGATACCTTTGCAACGTGCAACACGACTATCACTACCCGCGCTTCGCAATCAGCGAGTGTGAATTTGGCTATGAATTCGACCAAGGACAATCTAGTTGCTGATCTTGATTCCGGTTTTGGGTTGACATGGGATGCAAGTAATAACTTGTGTAAGCAATGTAACGGATCTGGTGGTCAGTGCGGCTACAATACATCTACAACTGAGTTCACGTACTTAGCAGCCAATGCCAAAGGGCTTTGGCTCAAGTTAGAGAGTTATATAGAAATCTAGCGTTTAGGCTAACTACTTCTTGTTTCCTCTATTTTCTTTTAGTATATAGTCTGGTCTAGAAACAAGTGAGGGGCCAAAGAAAGATTGGGTTTTTGAGTTGGGTCTCAGAAGAAGATGAAGTTAGAACTTTCACCTATTCCATCCAAATTCCTTTCACATAGCCATGGAAAACCCATGCGGCATTCCATTGGAAACTTCAAGTTGGGTTCTTCTGGTATTTTAATATCATCTCCCCAATTAGCTAGGCTGGCCATTTCCATGCCAAAACAAAACCAAATGATTCATACCACTTGTGCATGCATGTTTCGTATGTTCTGAGTTATCTAGGCTGCCTATGACATTTACTGTAATGACCTTATCTGAATTTAGAAACTTGTATGAATTTGTTTAGCTTATGGACTAGTCACAAGTCAAAGAAATTAATTTCCGCGTTTGATGTTTGTTAAATGGACCTTCTATTAAAAGGTAATGAATTCTTGATAAAGATTGTTTGTCAATAAAACAAGCTTTCATTTCATGTGCGCGGTGGTTGTGTTTTTTTAATAAATATGTAGCATTGTTGGGACTGAAAAATGTCTTATTTCACTTGCATATGCCATTTAAAAAATATGCTTTCATGAATACTTCGTACATAATTCATGTATTGAAAATAGGAATTTTCAGTCAAGATTTCACTAGTGTAGTGATTTGGAGCAATTGCTCCTTCAAGAAATGTTCTGAGTTTGAGTCGTAGCACTCGTGTAGTGTGTGTGAGTTTAACACATTATCATCCCTCCGAATAAAAAAAGTCCTAAAAAACAATATGAAGGAATTTTCAGACAAAAGTAAGATATAATAATTTCTGCCTCAGAAAAGAGTACTCTATAATTTGATATATTTACACGAGAAAAAGGTGAGGGGTAGTAGAAGTTTTCTGCCAAAGAAAAACATGCCCAAAAATTGTATGAGATTTTCTTCTTAGCTTTAAAAGTATACAAAACTCATTCATTTAATAAGTTTTTTAAAAGTTATTAACTTCATGTATGCATGCTCCTTGTTACTCTCTTATTAAAAAAAAAAAAATTTAAAATAATTAATTGGGAAGATGACTTTGAATTTTTTTCAAGTAATTTAATTCCAGCATTGGTAGCTCTACATTTTTCTATTATGCATCCTACCTACATTTAGTAAGTCTTTGTTGAAGTTTATAATTCCATTTCTAGCAAAAGAAAAAACTTCATTTTCTTTAGAGAAGCGTTTTTGTGGTCACCAAAATTTTCATTGACTAAGTCTTATTCTCGAAGTGTTGACCAGTAAGTCGACTTTGACTCCCTCAACTGCAGCACATAATTTCAATACTCAAATATTTCAAATATTAGTTATCCTTTCAGGGGATCAAACTGGCCAGAGTATTGTGGCTACCCTGAGTTCAAGGGACTAAATTTTGGCTATAGTAAGATCAATGTTAGAAACTATGTACCAACCCTCCTCCCCACCCTTGTGTACCAGATCTCTCTCCCAAGCTTACACTCGTCCCTCGTAAAAATGTAAGGGAGGTATACTTCTTTTATATTGAACTTGAAGTCACTCCAAAACTGTCATTCTGAAAGGAAGTGCACAGCAACTTTTTTGGAGTGCCAATAACAGCCTTCTTTTTAAATAATTATAGGGTTCTTTGTTTTTCTTTTCTCTTTTTTAATGAAAAAAGTTTAGGGGGAGGGGAGGCTACCCCATCTCAGGTCTAGGACATACCAAGGCCTCTCTGAGGACTTATAGAGGTGGTCTTAGTCCATTTTTATGTTTTTACAGATTATCCACCAAGAGACATTGTCAGCAGTGGGACTCGAACCTAGGCCTTGATAGCAAAGATAAAGGGTCTTTACCAATTGAACCAACCCTCGTTGGCATTATAGGGTTCTTATTTTTTTTGATTAAGTAGGGGGATTATAGGGTTCTTATTGATTCTATACTAATTAATATTTTAATAATAAGGTTTTAGAAAAAGAAAATACAAATGGAATGTTCTCAAATTGTAAGCATTTGGCAACAAATTGACTCGATTGAGTAAAATTAGCGACACAATGACCAAACTTAAGGCAAATAAGCACTGACAAAAAAGGTAGTTTTGTTGATGTAATTGAGATAGTCTTTTTTTAACAATTGATTATTCATTTATCGATTAACATTTCTCTATCTTGTGGCAGTTTCAGGAAAAAAGAAGGAAATTGCAATGGGTAATATTTCACTTCTTTAAAACAGTATTTATATTAGTAACTGCTTCGTTACTTGTTTTCGTTGTAGTTCTTGATTGACTGTTAAAATGGTAGCCCTCCAAAGTGGTTTTAGAACTTGAATGACTGTTTAAAATGACTAGGAGCTTAACTAATAACTACATAAAATAAAAATCCAACAAATCAAGTAATTATAATGAAACAAGTATTTTGTTGCAGGTTTGGCTGTTGGATTTTACGTGATGGTAATCATTCTTTGTATTATATGCATAGCAAGGAAAAGAACGGTCAAGAAAGATAAGAGGGATGAGTTTGATGCTGAGGCTAAGAGGGATGAGTTTGATGTTGAGGCATTTATAAGGAACTATGGATCGCTTACTCCAAAGAGGTATACCTACGCAAACGTCAAGCAAATGACAGACTCTTTCAAAGATAAAATAGGTAAAGGTGGATATGGAACCGTGTACAAAGGCAGGCTACCAGATGGCCTTCTCGTGGCGGTCAAAGTTCTAAGCGAGTCCAAGGGTAATGGAGAAGACTTTATTAATGAAGTTGCGAGCATTGGTAGAACCTCCCATGTCAACATAGTCATTCTTTATGGATTCTGTTATGAGCGGGACATAACAGCTTTGATTTATGAGTTCATGCCTAACGGATCTCTGGATAATTTCATACATAAGCATGGATCTGAAATGGCAAATTGTCGCCTAGAGTGGAAAACACCATCTGAAATTGCAGTTGGCACTGCTCGGGGACTAGAATACTTACATCGTGGATGTAACACAAGAATTTTGCATTTTGACATAAAGCCACAGAACATTCTTCTCGACAAAGATTTTCGCCCAAAAATCTCTGATTTTGGCCTTGCCAAATTATGCAAAACGAATGACAGTATTGTATCGATGATGGGGGCAAGAGGAACTGCAGGATACATTGCACCAGAAGTGTTTAGCCGGAACTTTGGTGGAGTATCTTACAAATCTGATGTTTACAGCTACGGGATGTTGGTTCTTGAAATGGTTGGAGCAAAAAAGAATTTGGATCCGGGAGTGTATCATACGAGTCAAATGTTTCCAGATTATGTTTATAAAGATCTAGAGCTAGAAAAGGATGAAAATGCATTTGGGGCAATCACAGAGGAGGAAAAAGAAATAGCAAGAAAGATGGTATTAATAAGTCTGTGGTGCATTCAGACCATTCCTTCTGATCGGCCATCAATGAGCAAAGTTGTAGAGATGTTGGAAGGCCCCCTTCATTCCTTGCCAATTGCACCCAAGCCTTTCTTGTCTTCTCCTACAATAGCTGCAGAAGACTCTATGACTACAGTAGCTGCAGAAGACTCTGTGACCACATCCCAACCATCTGAAATGGACTAAGGCAATTAGTTTCATTAGAAGATCTCTTGTAAGAAAGTTGGCTTGGTGAAAATGAAACCGTTTGGATTATCCGAAAACTCAGAATGAAAGCTGTTTTCATTGATTCTACTGTTTTTGTTTAATAGAAAAAGTAGATTATGAAACCACATTCTCTCTCTTCTTGAGAGCTTCCCTCTCTACCTGAGAGTTTCCATATCCTTCGTGGTATTACTGTTCTTCCTTTTTCCAACTTAGTTTGAGTTCTTCCTAGACAACTTCTAGTTCCAAATCTCATCTCTTTCCACATCTACCTTTCTTTTTGTCCAAGTCCTCACCTACCCTTTCACTCTTTACTTTTTTCTCCACCATCTTTACCCTCAAACCACAATTCAGCTCTTTAAACTACCCTCCCCTTTTTTCCTTAAAACTCTTTCCCTTCACTTGTACCTCTTATCCCTTCCTGTTTTTTTCACCATCGACCCACTTTTTTCTTTTTTCAAAATGACAGAGAATACCTTAAGTGCTGACCAGCTCCTTCAACAATGGGATTGTCTTGACCTTGGTGGGGTCCATGCGGGGACTATGTTAGCTGGAACCATCATTGCAGACAAACCCCCAAACAGGGGAGCTGCAAAGGGAATTCTCAAGAAGGCCTGGAGCGGTTTTGGTGAAGCCAAAATAGTGGAGGTGAAGGATAAAATCTTTGCTATTACTGTCAGTGATGCGACAATGGCCAAAAGGATCCTGGATACCGGGCCTTGGTCAGTTATGGGGTTCTCTTCTTCCATTCAACCTTGGCCATCTGATTTGGCTATTGAAGAAATTCAATTTCACCTCATTCCAAACTATGGATTGCATTTTGTTATGAGAAACTCTCAAACTTCTGCTTTGCTTGTGGGCGTCTTGGCCATGGGGAAAATGATTGTAGTTTTGTTACCGCTACTATGAGAACCCAATCAGAGCAGCTCTTCGGAGAATGGATGGGCACTGGGCCGGCACCAAGTCTCGATACTTTATTTACAGCACCTCCCCAACCAAGAGGTCGCCGTCGTGCACCTGGTTGGCGTTACTCTGATCCAGTGGCAGGTGTTGACCACACTCCTGGTCTGGGTTTCGGGGGCACCGCTGGGTCTGACATCCCCGCACTGACAGTGGAACAGGAGGAGAGTCTGCACTTGAACTCTGTGCCTGGTCTTGGTACTGCTGCCACCGCCATTTTGTCGGAGGAACATTCTCTGGCGCTTGGGATGGGACTTAACCCCATGGAATTTGGGAACCAACCTATGCTCCTTGGCACACCGATTCATGATTCTAATATGGTGGATACAACGATCTCTTTGAAACCTTCTCGTGCACATGTCTTGCCTTTTGACACTGATAGTTCTGAAAATCTATATAGGACACCTGCTGCTTTCTTGTCAAGTGGGCCACTGGTAAATCTTTCTGGCCACCACCTTTTAGGCCTTGGGGAATCGTTGGACTCATGCTTGGGCCCTATCTTGGGAAACAATGTGGCTGATGTGGCCCAGCCACTTGGGTCTGATCCTTTCCTTCTTGGGCCAACCACTGAGCACATTATGGGAACTAGACAGCAAGGGGCTGACAGTAATTTTGTGCATGGTTGGTCATGCAAAACCAGCAGCAAAGGACGTATGGCAAAACGTATTGCTTCTGAGTTTCCTCCTGACCTCACTCCAGCTAAGCGACGCATGCATGTTGCTCCTTTTGGGGATGACCTGCCAACCCAAAAACGTTTTAGGTGCCATACTGACCCAACTACAATGAACTCATCGGTGGAGGCTGCTTCGGCTCAGCCCCGCCGGTCCCAATGAATATCCTATGCTGGAACTGCCAAGGACTTGGGAACCCTTGGACAGTTAATGGATTAAAGAGTTTAATCCGAAAAGAATCTCCCGCGATCGTTTTCCTTTGTGAAACCCGTTGTAGTAGTGGTCACATGAACAAGTTGAAAATGAGGTTTGGTTTTGCGCATGTTCTGGCCGTGAGTTCCAGGGGCCAATCTGGTGGTTTGGCTCTACTCTGGAACAATGATACTGAGTTGTTTATTAAGTCTTTTTCGGATCACTTTATTGATGCTGAAGTTGGTTCTATTGGGGTGGCTGGGAGATGGCGTCTCACGGGCTTCTACGGCTTTCCGGCAACCGCCGACCGGGATAAGTCCTGGGTGTTGCTTTCTCAGCTGGGTTTGCATAATCATTTACCTTGGCTTTGTGTTGGTGATTTTAATGAGCTCCTCTTTGCGCATGAGAAGGAGGGGGGCTCCCTCGTAGTGATCGGCAGATGAATGGTTTTCGTGAGGTTGTGGATCTCTGTGCTTTTCAGGACTTGGGTTTCTCTGGCTACAAGTTTACTTGGAAGCGAAATTATGCGGGTGAGGTCATCCGTGAATGGCTGGACCGGGCTTTGGCAACGTCGGACTGGCAGGACCATTTCCCTTTATCATCTGTTTTGCATCTTGACCCTTGTACGTCTGATCATCTGCCCATCCTCGTGGTTATCCAGTCTCAGCCGCGGCGCCGTCGTCCGTCCCGAAAGCGATTTCGTTTTGAGGAGATGTGGTCAGCCCATGCTGACTGTGAGCGGGTGGTGCAGCAG